TAATTAGTAGCTTTTGTGTTCGTTCTTAGTAGAAATTTTGAGTTTTCTTGTTTTTTCCTTCTGCTCTAAATTTGGTCAGAGTGATCGACAGAAAAGAAATATGTCTTGAATATATGTTATCTTATGCTAATATAGCTCTTAAAAATTAAAGAAATTTTAGAAAATTTAGTAAAAGTTTGTTCTAATCTTAAAGATGACAACTTAGAACCTGAAAATTAGAAAATAGTTTAAAAAATAGTTTAGTTCCTTAAATCATTTTATCAGGCAACAGTAGAATTATCAAAATCTACAAAGCCTTTACATAGTTCATTATGAGTAGTTTTTCAAGAACTCTTTTCACATCTTGACCAATATATTAAGAAATATATTAGAAATATATCTACAAATATAAACATATATTGTGAAATAGCTAAAAAAACAAAAAAAAATTATTAAAATACTAGAATGATTTCTTGGAATCTTTTGCTATGCTAGCTCTTCTTGATCTGTTTACAAAATTTGAAACCTTCTATGAAGCAGATCACCAAAAAACTATTAAAAGTTTTAAGGCTTCTTATTTATTTGATTATATAGATAAACAAAGGATAGAACCTAAAAAAGATCCTTTAGATTATTTTAGGAATCTGGAAAAGTCGAATGAAGAAAGCCAAGTCTCAGCAAATGAACTAGCATCTTATCTCTTATTACCTCCAGAGCCAAAAACTGATCCATTGTCATGGTGGAAATCAAATGCTCACCATTTTCCAAAAGTAGCTTTGATGGCAGCAAACCAGTTTGCACTACAAGCTACGAGTGTTCCATGTGAATGTGCATTTTCAGTGGCCATACATACGTTAAATCTTTCAAGAAACAACCTTCTTGAAGATTCAACAAGAGCTTCTTTATGTATAAAGAGCTGGTCTGAATCGGGAATCCTAAATGTATAATAAAATAAATTAGACGCATATTGTATAACGAAAGTATAATAAAGTTTTAAGATGTTCGTTATCGTTATCATTATCGGTTATAATTGGTTATAGTATTAGTAGATCACGTATATCATATCGATATGCAGACTTGAATCGAGGACCGAGTCCTGATCAAAGTCCCTATTTGTGGAGTCTGGACCGATAGGATCGGACTTTTAACAACCCTACGTATGACATAAGAGACTTGTAGTATTGCATTTTTGAACATAAAAATTTATCGTTATTAAGAAATGTATTTTTGATTCGATCTTTTTTTGATTTGATTTTTTTATAATTTGACTTTTTTTTTCGATTCAACTTTTTTTTGATTCGATCTTTTTTTGAATTAATTAATTCGATTTTTTTTTTACAGCTGTTATCATAAATTCAGTGACATCTAAAAAATTGCTCTTTCTCAAAATCCCATCCTAAGAATCACGGGAACTAAACTTTCCGAAAAGTTATCTTTAGGATGGGATCGAAAAGATTTCGGGAAAGAGCAATTTTTTCAGGTGTCCCCTGAATTTATGAAAAACAGCTGTAATTCTGTAATTCGAATTTTTTTTTTTCAATAGGAATTACCTGGGGTTATTTATATTTCTTTCGTCAATTTTATTATAATTTACATCTTTATTAATTATTTTCGATTAATCGAGAACTATAATTTACCGTGTGGTTAATTGACTTTTCCCCAAGTCGTTTCTTTCAATAATCACTTGCCATATTCTTTCATTTTAATCTTAATGATTTATCGTAAAAAAAATAATTATCTGCTATCATTGACTTGTTTCAACCTGCCTAACAATTCTCTCGCCCAACAATTCATTTTATATTCGATATTCGTTATTCAAATTGTTATTTGATTGGTGGATCGTCATGTGAAATAGCCGAAGTTCGTGTAACATATAACTCACTTCAAATTTGGACTTGTTTGCGTTTCTGTCAATATACCACCGTATTGTAAATGAGTACGCTTGAAGATTATAATTCGGATTCGTCAGATTATTCTGACTTTATTCCAGATGGTAAGGAATTATTTTATAATTGAAAGTTCTAATTTTTTTTTTTTTTGAGAGTATAGTTTTCTTAATTTTAATATATAAATATTTTAGAAAATGAAAAAATTGAGGAGCCCTCTATTAATAAATCTGTGATGACTAGGAGTAAGAGGAAAAAAATTGAACAGGAAGCTAACGATAATATAAAAACAAAAAGATTAAGGTATTGATTAATACTTTGGTATTTTCCTTTAGTATAATAATTTATAAAATTTATCTTTTATCATTTTTATAGAGTTGAATACACAGATATAAATGATGAATTAATAACGTTAGTTAAAGATTTTCTCCTTTCATTTAATTTATAATTATGTTTATAAACGATTTTTTTTTACGTCTACTAGAGTGCGAAAACAAGTTTCTGAAGATTCTGAAGCTTTTCATACTAATCAGATGAAGGATAGTAAAATTCAAATGAAGGATAACGACATAACACAATCCAAAGACATACAGGATGTTTCTTCATCATCAAAGGAGAAAAAATTTTCGATAAATCAACCTTCATCATTATCAGATTCTCCTTTATCCTCATCTGTTAAAAAAAGCCAATCACCTGTAGAATTAGCTATTTCAGAACGTGGCAAATTTGGTAAACCAAAATCAACCCTTGGGCAGCTTGCTGCATCACTTAATAAGAAACCAAAAAAGCTAAATACTTTGGAGAAATCAAAAGTAGATTGGAAGGAATATGTAGACAAGGAAGGAATTGTTGATGAACTCAAATATCATAATAAGAATGGGTATATAATTAAATGTACAGGATTATCCGTAGGGGGAATCCGTAAATTACGTTATATCTGGGAAGAATAATAATTTTTAATTTGCGTTATAAGAGAAGCGCGAAAGATATTTGTTCATATAACGTGGATGCCCCCTAAATCTCTCTTATATATGTTAATTTATAAAATATTATTTTATTTATTAGATTTATAGAGAAACAAGAATTTTTACAACGTACTTACGAAGCGCGGGATTCCGAGATAAAAGCATTAAGGAAAGAGTCAAAAAAATGAAAAAATTTTATATATGCATTTTATTTGAAGTTCGAAAATCATTATTCAATGGTATGTTTTAATACTGCTAAACCAGTTGTGAAGTGGTTTGATATACAGTATTATATTTTATATTGTCAGTTTGAATTAATAATGGTTTAATAAAATTGCAAGAAAAGATATCAATTAATGCTATATACAACGTTTATGATATTTATTAGTATGTCAATCCATCTTTTCTTTATACTTTTGATTTCTTGATTTTATAAAAAATGTCGTGGCTTATCCTATTTTTAAATTTTTTTTGATGATTAGTACTGTATCTATCGTATAGTCCTGTATAACATTCAGTACCCAGAAAGCTAATTTAAGACCCGGGTATATTTCAATAAGCTTAGCGAGTGATTAATCGGACCCGCAGCAATTGTTGCCTTATTTTATGCAAGTTTTGTAAAAAAAATTAGCATTTTAAACTAGTCTTTAGCCAATAGTAAAGTTGTAAAAAAGTTATTTTTTCTTTAAAGTCGTATTAATTTAGGCGGGACCAATCAGAGACTGAGATAGTTTAATTGAATAGAATAGGTCGGCATTTCTAAATTTGGGGGACGTTTAAAGCCTGGCACCTTCCGGTTTTCCGATATTTAATTAATATTAGGGTTAGGGTTAGATATAGGCTATGGTTAATAGATATATAGTAAAATCACATTTCTGACACTTTTACTTAGTGCATCAAGACCAGTTTAGATAGCTATTTTTTAGATTTTCATGTTTTTGGCTTTAACTTATAATTTACATACGATCTGCCATAAAAAGTGCATTTGAAAAAAATTTGCAGGCAAATTTGTCTGTAAGACGGTGTAAGGGATAGTACCTGGCATTTTTGTGACAATGAGCATGGGCATGGTACATGCCTGGCATGGTGCCAATATACCCGGCATGGGCACTTGCAGAGCCCTAATCACAACTATACTTATGTATTAATGTGTTAACAGTTTATATTCATCATTTTTTTTTTAAATATAAGAAGAAAAAAAGTCATTTTTACTTTATTCTATTAAAAATATCTTGTAATAACCTAATATGTCATTTATGCTCATTATTAATGATTTTGTTAGAATAGTTGTAAATCTATCTGCTAAGAAAATACAACTAATTATACGATAAATCGCTAACGAAATGATTAAATCTGATTAAAAAACAAGGTAATGTTAGATAGTAAAATTTCTTTTGTAATTAACTACGATATAAAAATTTATTAGTTGCTATTTGCAACTATATAATAAATTTTGTATAATAAATAACCAATAAAAAGAAATAATACTCTTCAATGTTATTTGTTTCTGGTAAAGCTCTTTCAGATTCATGCTACGCGTTCTAAGCAAGAATCAGCCTTATTCGGTTAATATCAGTATTCGTTTTTAGCAAATAAGTGGTATAAACAGAAACGAGAGTTCCACAAATTGGAAAGCATTTTATACTATATTCTTGATCATGATTCTTGATGGAGATGTAGAGCTTTCTCTTTTGCGTAAAAAATTTTACAACAGCCTAAAAACCACATTATTTTGGCTTTCCCAACATTTTTTTACGAATATTCCGATCTAGGTTTGTGGTGTGCCTATTTTTTTTAATTTTTTACTAGCTTGATGAATTGATAATCGAAGATCATAAAGAAAGAATTTAATGATCACTTCTAAATTCACATTAGATATGTAACTAGATAATAATATGACTTTGAATATGACTTATAATACTAGATTATATCGTCAACTATCCCTCTTCTTTATTCTAATATTACACATTCCTACTCACTCAGGAAATCGTGAACTTTTCTTAATTGAGGCATTTAACTTTAACTATCCTTAATCTTTTGTAGATATTACTCAACATTTTCATTTATTTTTCGATAATCCGGATAGTTACAACTTTCTACTTTTTTTACTCCTTCTTTGAAACCTTTTAATACGCTTAGTTTTCACATCATTAACTGTCAAGAGCATACATGAATTCTACCTAATATCAGATATTACCGTATCATCAATAAAATACGTACGACATCTGATATCAGGTATGTAATACAACATAAAAACAAATGGAAAGAGAAAATTAAAATAGGAATGCACAATATAAATAGGCTAAAAGGAGACTGCTTAAAGCTAGAGCGATTAGTTGAGTATTGTAAGGAAGAGCAATTTAACTTAATAGGAATTGTTAAAACTAATATATGCGAAAAAGAAGAAAAATGGTTAAATATAGAGAATAATGAATATAGGAGCTTTTGGTCAGATACAGACAGAAAGAAGAACAAAGGTATGGGAATTAGACTACTAGTAGATTCAAATTGGTATTGCTATATAGAAGCCTGCAAAAAATTTAACCCATATCTACTTAAAGCAGAATTCTATTTCAGGAAAGTTGTGTTACAAGTTTAGGTAGTGTATATACCACCCAAAAATGAAGAAATTGCCAAAAAAGTTCATAAAATAATTTTAGAAGAAACATTTAAAAACAAGAAAATTTTATATAGCAACTTATTAGCAGCTTAAATATAAATATATATAATGACCTGAAAACAATAAATACATTTCATATTATCATGGATAATTTTAATGCAGTACTTGATAAAGAATTAGATACAAGTAGCAAAGGAAAAAGAATAATAGATGCCAATTCAAGAGTTATAAAGTGGCTTAAAAGAACAGATCATATAGAAACTTTTTGTTTTTGCAACTCTAATATAATCAAGTTCTTATGGTTGAATGGTAGAGTTGCAACAAGAATAGATTACATTTGGTGTTGTCAGAATCTAAAACTATTTATCACAAAAAGCAATATTGATAGTGCAGAAACTATAATAGATAGCAACCACAATATAGTTTGGCTACAAATAAATAGTGTAGATCTGTTTGAAAAAAATAAGGTAAGAAATCAAAAAGAAAAGAAAGAAATGAGAAGAATATATCATTATAACAAAGCTACAAAAGAAGATTGGGAAGCATACAGTTATAAAGTAGAACAAGTATTTCGAAATGCAGAAAAAAGACAAGAAAAGCAAAATAGTAAAATAGAGAATGCAGAAAAAGAAAGTATTAATGATAGTTGGGACACAATAGTAAAAGTATTTACAGTAGTAGCAAACGAGTATATTCTATCAACAAAGATACAAAATACAAAGAGTCAGATTCAAAAAGAGACATCAAAGTCATTAATATATAGTAGAGCAAAGATACTCGAAAAATTGTTTAGAAAGAGAATGAGTAGCCTAGGAAATACTCTACAATACACGAATTAGATATTTAAACAGTAAATACAATACGCAAATACCTGAGATACAAGATAAGTGGGAAAAAGAATAGTGTATAGAAATTAAAGAATAGTAGAATATACTAAGAGAAAGAGCAAGAAGAGAGGTTAAATTAAAGAAAGAAAAAAAAATTAGTGAATATATCAAGAGAAGATTCACAATTAATACAGCAAATCCGAAGAAAATATTTAATAGTTTATTAGAACAACATCATAGCAAAATTGTTTTAGACAAAGTATTAGTTAAGAGTAAAGAAAAGTTCATGAATGCAACACTAAAAACAGAAGAAGAAGAGATTAAGGAAGAAGTAGTAAGATACTTCCAGGACCAGTTTAGACAAAGAGAACATAAATTCGATGAAATAGATAGCAAGTGGAAGGAAATATACAAAGAGCAAGATAGTATCAGAAAAGAGTAGTACAAACCAGTCATGAAAGAAATTACAGAAAAAGAGTAGAATGAAGTGATAAATACACTATAAAAAGATACTGCACTGGGAATTTCAGGCATCAGCTACAAGCTAATCAAAAACATAAACAATGAAAGCAAAAGATACTTATAGAGTTTGCAAACAGGGTCATTCTAGAAGAAAAGTTTCTGAAGAAGTAGAAACTCAGCCAAATATACTTAATTCCAAAGAGTACTAACTAGGAATATAATCTAGCAGCTATATGATCTATTATGTCACTTGAAACTTTTAGGAAGTTAGTAGTAAGAATTGTTCAGAAAAGACTATGCAAAATAATAAGTCAAAAGAATATCTTAGAGGTGCAAACTTCGCAAGACTTCCTGAGGAAAGCACAATAGCCCTGATACATATCTTAAATAATGTAATCGAAGATGCTAAACAAAATAATAGTGAACTTTGGATAGTATACAAGATATGAAGAAAGCATTTGATTCAGTTAGCATGAGAGCATTCGAACTTGCTATAAAAAGGATAAAGTTTTCTGAGAAACTGATTATGTTTATTAAGCATCTATACAAGGATCGTGAAATTAGAGTAATCACAGATAACAGACCAATGAGTTTCTTTATAGCAGGGGATGAAATAGACCAAGGAGAAGTTATCTCACCCCTGATATAGAGAATTTTTTATGATCCACTACTAGTACATATATAATAAGCAAAACTTGAATACCAAATGCATCTGAATTGGCCATCAGACATAAGTAAAAATATCATAAAGAAGGAAACTATTGAGGTCTCAGCATTAGCCTACACAGATGATACTACATAGGTCATACTATCTAAAGACTCATTACAGAATATTGTAAATATATCTAATGAGTTCTTTAGGCTAAATGATATAGAGGTCAATGGAGCAAAATCTGAAATAATTATATTGAGACTGGGTGTAAAATCCAAAGTATCAGATGGTATATGGATAGAAACACTACTAGAATATGTTGAAGTTAAGAAAATAGAAGAAAGCAAAAGATTCTTAGGAGTTTGGATTAACCTTAAAAACCAAGAAAAAGCAAGTATAAACCAGTGCAGAAAAGTAGTAAGCA